GCGCAGTGCAAGCAGCTGGTGGTGGCGGCGCGGAGGGAGCTGCACGGAGAGGTGGGACGGGCGCGGCGGGGCCGCTGCTCCGCGCCGGGCCCAGAGGGGAGCGGGGGAGCGGCCCTGCCTTCTGCCGCCGCTTCCCTCTGGGCTCTGGGCCCGGAATCGGCCCGGGGAGAGGGGTCGGGTTGATCCTTGGGCCCGCGGAGGCGGGAGAAGCGTCTTCGGGTTGTCCCTTTGTTCAGCCGTTCACTGCTCTCCGGTCCCTGTTGTATCTCTGCTCCTAATTGTGCGTTTGGCCTCGGCGGCTGCAATCAAAGTAGCCCCACCATCTCTGCCTCTTAGAATTAGGGGTATCGATGCTTTCACTAGTGAGGTTTTAAAAGGAGAAGCGTGGCAAGGGAACAGCCTCTTGGGTGGGGAAATCCACGCGGCTGCTTGGCTCTGTTTCCAGTATTGGTGAGTGTCTCTCAGCAGGTCACATCACTGCGGGCTCCCTGTTTCTCCAGCTGCAATGTGGAACTAAAAGTGGCTTCTGTCTAAACAGCTCAGAGGAAGGGAGCTGTATAAAATCCAGTGGTGTAGCTGAAATTCCCATGTGAGGTTGGAGCAAACACCTTTAATGATGTCACGTGCTGGCGGTGAATTCACTTGCTTATAAACTACTGTAAGAGCACAGGATAAGACTTACTAAGTAACATTTGTTTATAGGTTGGAGCAGCTTTGCCTGTGGATGTCTTAACATACGAGGAAAAAACTCTGTCTGCCATATTAAGAGTTATTAGCAGGTAAGGGGCAGTAGGTACATGCCTCAGATTCTGCCATGAAAATACTTTTTTGTAAGCAAACAAAACTCTTAAATGAAAAATGGTCTTCAAAGGATTAAGCCTGAGATGCAGATGTCAGCATAGAGGATGCAGAAAATAAAACTTCAGCAAGATTTGGTAACCTGTGTGCATTGGTGCATTATTCCTGCTTTAAAACAGAACGGTCCGGCAGGACTGTTGAAATAACTGCAGGTGATTTAGGAGAAGAGGGAGCTTAAAGGCACAGAAAGAACAAGAGCAGGGCTGGTAAAGTAGATTTGAAGAGGTTACAGTATGTATCTCTGCATGTCAGGGACAAGAGATTGCAGTAACCCTTCAGGGTGCACTGTTGCTACTAGAAGTCATTGGTGAAATTACCTGTTGTTAAGTTAAGGTTTCATTGATTTTTATGTAACGTGGTTTTCATTCAAGATGTTTGTGCTGCAGGAAAACTGCAAAAAATAAATTCTATTAATATACTGTGTTTTCTTTTTGCACAGTGGCCTTGTTAAGCTTTGGAGTGCTCTAACACTGCTGGGCTCCTACCAGAACAGGAGGTGTGCCTTTCGAGTGCTGCAGGTAAAGCCCTGGGGGGGCTGGATTTCATCCCCCAAATGCCAGCCCTCCCTACAAGGTTGTCTGGCTAGCTGAGCACCCTGCCCCTTCAGAGAAAGATGGCCTAGCTGCAAAAACACCTTGGTTTGGGAGTGAAACGCTTACAATGCAAGCATATAGGCCTGTGTTGAAGCAATTCCCATCTTATAATTGATCTTGTAAAATGTTAACTCATTACTTCATGGTTTCATTCCAGTGAGAGGTCCTGATCTCATTAACACATCTGCAAGAAAAGAATTTCTAGAAACCTTTGTTCTTGGCCCACATCTTGGTCCCATTTTTCATTCCCACTACTCCATTTCTTCCCTTTTTAATAATTGATGTCAGCTGACCTCATTTCAAAATGCATGCATGGACATGCACATCCACAGCTTATTTTTTCCTGAGGAGGCTGCTTAATACATTCAGTTACAATAATTCTTTGCCTCTGAAGCAATGGCTAAGCAAAATTCTGCCATACATAGCTCTAATTTTTAAATCCCTTATGTAGAAGGGAAATTCAGGTATTTTCACCTTTGAGTGCATTTGATGTTCATTTGTGTCATTTGTTTGCTTTAAATGCTTTAGTTTGTTTCTTGCTTTGTTTTTGTTTCCCTCCAAACCAGACATCTCCATTTCTTCTGGCATTATCTGGCAACAGCAGAGAACTGGTCCTGGACTGAATGTGGTTGCTGGTTTGGCTGTAGGAAGCAGAAGTTGCTTGAGATGTTTCAGCCCTTCAGATGTGGAATTTCGGGAGGGGATTTCCAACAAAGAGCCTTGACAAAGCTAGCAATTCTCAACTCAGTGCTTGGACATCCTTTACCACAGAGTTTACACATAAAAGTTGGAGACAAAGCTGAACTTACCAAAGCTTTTACACAGAATGATGTTGTTACATTTTCTGATTTAACAGGCGACACGAATCCCTTGCATTTAAACGAAGATTTTGCGAAGCAAACAAGGTTTGGGAGAACTATTGTACATGGAGTTTTAATTAATGGACTTATTTCTGCTGTTCTGGGCACTAAAATGCCTGGCCAAGGCTGTGTGTTTCTTTCTCAGGAGATCCGATTTCCAGCTCCTTTATATACTGGTGAAGAAGTTGTAGCTGCAGCAGAAGTTAAACGACTGAAGGGTTCTATTGCACACATCTCAGTATCCTGCAAAGTCAGAGAAAGTGAAAAGACTGTAATGGAAGGGATGGTGAAAGTCCTGGTGCCAGGCAGTTAGAGCTGTTGATCCTGTGCTGCTTTACTGTAAAGGTCAGAAATACATGCTTGGTTTTGACTCTGTCTTTTTATGTGACATCACTTAATCCAGTAAATTTGCAACAAACTCGAGCTCTGAAGCATCTTCAGTGAGATTAATTCCAGTGTACAATGTAAGAAGGGAAAAAGAAACATTTCACAAATCATATTGAAATAAAATACTGCAATGAAAGCCCGGCTGTGGAACTCAATTAAAACCATTTAAATCTGTGTTTTGAAAAGAAAACAAACAGCCAAGCAAATAAAAATCTACCAATTGAGTAGAAGATACTGGGTGCTCGTTGGTTTTTTTATGCATGTTTAAGTAAAAAAGAAAAACCACACTCACAATGTGAAGAGCAGCAGGTGTGCCAGCCCTTCGCAATTTCCCCCTCTCTGCCAGGACCAGCAGCGTCTCGGGCCGATCCCCTCCCCGCAGCCCGCGCGGCAGCTACCG